CCAGCGTAACCAGCGTAACCAGCGTAACCAGCGTAATCGGCGTAACCAGCGTAATCGGCGTAATCAGCGTAACCAGCGTCATCAGCGCAGCTAGCCACCGCCAGCGTACCAGCGTACCAGCGTGCAATCACTCGCGGACACGCTTTGCCACGTCGCTCGTAGGTTTTGTATACTGTATGACTGTATGTATTGCTTGTTCCTTTTCCAATGTATCAGGTTTCAATAAAGTGCAGTTTGACATGTCACATTGGGCATATTGCTTTTGTGCGTATGTATGTGTATATATATATATATGTCTAGCACATCCGTGTGTTAGTTACATTTTGTTCGAGGTTTGCTCATTTAATTCCCGCCCGCGGCTGCCGGAGGTATGTATAGCCGTTCTTTCTTGGTGATCGTTTATTGCGGTAGCAAACGGGACCCTAACCTACAGTAGTAGGTTATGGTAGCATTGCTAGGCTGTATAGCACTAACTTCCAACATGTCAATCTCCAGTCACACAGTTTGCTCTTTTTTCCATGTGCAGATGTCAATTCCATTCTATCATTGCTAGGCCGTATAGTAGACCAATATAAAGCAACGCCAACCAATCAACACACGAATCACATTGATGTTTAACGGACGACCACTATAGCTGAATGTGACATAGACTCTAGGTTCCACGGATTTACATGGGTAAGCTCAAAAGTGTCGGCGCAATGGCCAGCTTCGAAGGCGCATTTGCCACCCTACCTTGTCACCGTTTCGATGGAAAACGCGCGCGCCCAGGGGCCCAGCACAACCACGATCCCAGCACTGTTGTGTTTTGTTTTGCTGCGCGCGGGACCGCACACACACACAATCTACCCTTTAAAAAGTAGTGCCGCAGCAGGTCGTCTGTAGGGAATGACCTAGGAGATCGATCCCCAGGTCAAATCCTGGGCAACAATTCGGACCCTGCAACAAGCAACGGTCCGAAAGTAATAAGGAATCTACCGAAACACTTTTTGTGGTAAAGGCTGCTTGCATTTTTCTATTGGAAGCCAAACCAAGCCAGTCTTGCGGTTGGCAGGCAAGCTATGCAAATTTGATTCATTTCCTGATTTTCATGTTGTTTCTTTCAACTCGGGTTGTTGACCACCAAAAAGGTGGTGGTGCCTGGCCGCGGATCCATCCACTCCATAGCCAGATGATGCCAGGGTAGGAGTGGTAAAGATGGCGGTGCTGAAGTCCGGAAAGACCGGTACTGCCAGCCATTCGTTGCTAAAACAGGACTAGTACCGTTTTAGTGTTTTTCTCCTTCGTGAACTTGCACCAGTGTCGGCCGCAAAGGCAGGTGTTGCAGGATAATGGCTTCGTGGCTGTGGGTTTAATGTTTAATCTGCGTTTTTCCTATTTTTCTACATGTTTAGTTGTCTCTTCTAGGATCTAATAAAGATGAGGGATGCGGCCGATCGCCGCTTGCAGGCCGCTTATTGCCATGTGCAGCACTTTGGCACTGTTGATTACAACCAGGTTCACATGTCCTCTACTGCTGACACATGCGCAGTTTGTCAAATCTCGCCTCTTTTCTGTTGCAGCAAGTTGGGTGTGGCTGTTGGCGCTGCTTGGTGTTTGCTTGATGCTTGCTTGTGCCTGTGGTGCTTCCGCTTTTGTTGGTGGTTCCACAGCCGGGTCCATGCGATGTGTGGACCAATGACTTTGGCCACGGGATCTCTCCACACACAGTTGGGAGGCCTCAAAGTGCAAACAGACCCAGAGCCTCGCCGAAGAAAGACTTAGAACAGACTTAGAAACAGCAGGCCGCAGGGCGCCGCAGAGCGCCGCAGGCCGTTTCGTTAAAGCTGAAGGCGGCGGTGCCTTCTTGCGGCGCATGTCCGCCACTTCCAACTCAATATCAGACGATGCACTCAGTCATGTAGACTCTTGGTGAATAAAGCACCCGTGTGAAGTGGACAATCCTCTTCATATGGGGGATTTATTCATCAAGAGGTCTACGTTCATGTTTTTGCAGGAACTGGCTGACGTTGGGCATCGAGCGAGTTCCTTTGACAATGAGCTGAGGGAGACTCGAAAAGAGGTGGACGACATTCAGAAGGCCGAAATGTAGACCAAGGCTTTGAGCTTGATTTTGGATTGGAAGAAGCTACTAGGAGCAAAGGGCATCGCTACTAGGAGCAAGGACGCTACTAGGGGCTCCTGGCCTTACTACTAGGAACAAGAAGCTATTAGAAACAAGAATTCATTAGAATTACTGTAGATCTAAAACTAATCTAATTTGTTCATACTTTTGCACTGAAACTGACGTAGGCACTGACTGCACCACTGTAGCATCATTTGTTTGGTGGAGTTCTCAGAGCTTTTGGGATGAGGCATTGAAAGAAGTCAGGGAGAAGACAGCTCGCACAGATGACGATGCGAAGAACATCGTGAAGAGTACCAGAGAATTGCATCAGGCACGCGTTGGAGTCGTGGCTTTGATTTTGTGTTGGTACTTTTTTGAGGGTTGGATGGTTGGACAAGAACTTTTGATGCAATGTTGTGGAAGACATACAGAAAGTGTTTTCCCTCATGGGTTTGTTGGCATTTGTTGGTTCATTGATAGGGCATTCAACAAAATTTGGCATTTGATTTGTTGTTGAACATGGAGGGACCAAAAAGTACCACACATTTTATGTTGGTGCTTCTAGGTTGGAGGCCATTGCTACTAGGTTGGAGGCCTTCTATAAGGTTAAAAGCGTTGAGCACGTTGCGCAGGTCATCACAGAAGTTCAGCAAAGATTGAGTTGCTTCGACACTGAGTTGATGGACGACAAAAGAGGATCAGAAGACATGAAGCAGGCGCCAAGTTGTGTTTTATATCTTTGTGCAGGCGCGAACTTCACATTCCTTATGCACCTGGAGTCTCAGTTCGTTCCGCAGAAAATGGGTGCAAGTACTCATTTTTCTAGGGTCACGTTCCTTTCTATAACATTTGGTGGATTTTGAGTATCGATTGTATGTTCCTTTTGCAATTTTGCTTGTGTTGGTTTGTCAGGTTTCAACAAAGTGCATGTTGACATGTCTCATTAGGTGCATGTTTTGTTTTGTGTGTTTTACGTTCAGGTTCTATTAGTTTTGTAAGTATGGCTGGTAACCCTTGTTTGCCCGGCCGTTTGTTTTAATCATACTTCTTCGTTGTGGGTGTTCTGCACCGTTGTTGACGGAGGCCTGTGTAGACACTTCATTTCAGTTGATCCAATGATTTTTTTGTGTTTGTTGCGTTATAGTTTTGGATTTCAGAGGTTTTGTTTGCAGTCTTGTTTCGCAAAAGGCACTAAGAGAAGTCGAGGAACAGACAGCTCGCACAGATGAAGATGCAAAGAACATCGTGAAGAGCACCAGAGAATTGCATCAGGCACGCGTTGGAGTACCAAAGAGTTGCATCAGGCACATGTGTTTTCTTTCGGGGATGTCACGTTAAAGGATGTTTACAACTACTACCCCCACAGATTGGAGGGATTCATGATCGCTGGACACTGAACAAGATGGAACCAATCCCAGACACGACCTGTCTGGGACCGCCAGTCCGGACTGCCTTCAAAACGGCCGCTTGGGTGGTTGCCAGGGGGTCTGGCTGGGGTGGCAGTCCTGCAGTCCCAGACAGGTCGTGTCGGGGAACCGTCACCACGACGACCGACGGAGTCCGTCGCCCCGGTCCGACGCCTCGAAGTTGGGGGTCGTTTCGCCCGCCGGGGCCGATGGAGTTTCAGACCTGGTCTCGGTCGCGTAGCGTTTTTCCGTTGGCTTTCGTGGCATCGTCGGATTGCGTCGTCATCGGGTCTCGGCATGGGGATCGGATCCACGTCCTCGAAGCCTCGCGCGGTGAGCGGAGCGACCCGCGGCGTCACCAGTGTTTGCCGGTGCATGTTTTGTTGCGAAGATGGAAGATCACAGGAGTTGGAACAGCGATCTGGTAGCCCCTGTCACGCGTGCCCAAAACAACAACCTTGAGAGAAGAATATTTGGATGCAGTGATGCCTATTCTTTCAGTCCATTCTTTGGAAATCCAAACAATTCCAAGGCTGTATGGTGCTTCCCATGTCTCTGCATGGCGGAAATCTGCACCGAACTTACGGTCCAGTTCTGCAGGCATAGGTATCAAAATAAAAATAAAAAGAGCATCAAAAAAATAATAAAAACAGGATCAAAAAAAAAATAAAAACAGGATCAAAAAATAAATATTCCTTGATAGGCCTCTTCTGCTGCTCTCCTGGCCTTGTGGTCTGCGGGTCCTCTGGTAATGTGGTCCCTTGGTCCTCTGGTCCACTGGTCCTTTGGTCCCCTGGTCCCTTGGTCCTTCAGTCCACTGGTCCCCTAGTCCTCCGGTCTCCTGGTCCTCTGGTCCTGTGCTGCTGCTGCTACTGCTACTGCTACGCTGGTGCTGCTGCTGCTGCTGCTGCTGCTGCTACTGCTACTGCTACTACTACTACTACTACTACTACTACTACTACTACTACTACTACTACTACTACTACTACCCCAACCATCCTCAGTGGGCTAGAATATTTTTTTTTTGATTCCCTTTTTATTTTTTATTGATCCCCGTTGAATATTTGTTTTTTGATTCTTTTTTTTATTTTTTTTTGATCCCTTACCCGTGCAGGTCATCACGGAACTTCGGGAGCGTTTGAACTGCTTCGATGCCGACATGAAGGATGCCAGAGAAGGTTCCCAACACCTTGGACAGGCGCCCCGAACTTGCCTGGGCCGAATTTGGAGTTTGCCCCATGTGGAGGGATGGGTCAGGTGTCCTTTGGACTGTTCCAGGACCTTCAAAGAGGCCTTTTGAGATCACAGTTTGAGGTCAGTTGGTCCATCAAGAGGTCGCTTACAGACTCCAAAGAGGTCACGAACTGAAGGTCCTGGTGACTTTATTATAAGGAAAACAAACAGTCTATGCATGGAACATCCATTGATTACTCGAGGTTTGGGCCGCAAGATGAATTCCACTTCTTGAAACATCCCAGAAAGAACAGACCAGACAGTCGGACTGGTTTTCTGCGACACGGCACAACCGTGGGATGAACGAAGATGGACTGACTGGTCGTCCACAGGGGATAAGAACGACGTTCGAACTGGAGAAAGAACGACGTTCGAACTGGATCAGCAGGTCTATTGTGACAGGAACGTTTTTTTTTCATGTAAGTCCTGGAAGGTGAACGCAGGATACGTCCGGTGTGCGTGGTGCGGTACAAAGGGCGGATTATGTCGTTCAGGTGACGAACTGCTGGGGGGACGTTCTCTGCCGGTTGACGCTGGTTGGCTGGAGACCAGGTGAGCAATGGGGAGTTTGCAAGGGTTTGACATTTGTTTTTTGGTGATTTCCAACAAAACAACACTCATATTTCAGAATCCAAGTCTCACTTTCAAGTTTTGCTCTCAGTGCTTCCGGTTTTCCACGCTTACCGCCGCCGCTTACCCGTTAACAGTTTCTTTGTTCATGGAAGACATCAAAACCGCCGGTGCGCGTTTCTTTCCACCCAATTCTCTCCGCTCGAAGCCTGATGGTCGTAGTCGTAGTCGGAGTCGTAGTCGTCGTCCGGGGGGCGGCGTTGTCCCACACATCTCAACTAGTGCCCTCTCAAGATGTTGTTTTTGGTCCGATGGTTTTCAGTACATAGCCAGGTGAGCCAGCTGATGTGGCAACATATCGTGTCGTTTTAAGTCTTCACCAGAAGTTGCGAACTACACTTGACTAGAAGATGTTGCAACCACATGACGCCAGGTGTTTCACTGCGTTTTCCGCCAGGAAAACCTCGACGCGCGCACTGGGAGTCCGTGCGGTGTTAGCGCGCCGTGAAGCGCCGCCGTTGCAGGTGGTTGCAGGAGTACAGCAGCAAACGGATGGTTTCTTGTTTGAACTCACTGGCATGAAGAAGAGCAAAGAAGAAATGCAGGAGGCCGCTGTTCCTTGGGGGAGCCACATGTAACGCATGTGTGATATTTCTGTATGGAGTATATAGTAGAAGGATCAAGAGAGGACATCAAGTCTCAAGTGAGATACAAGGTGCTTTGGTGATATGGACTTGCATGGGCTCTCAAAGAGTCTTGAACCTTGGAAGAGTCTCACGATTTGACGACGCGTCTGCCTTGGTTTTTCCGACGTAGGGCACGTAGCTGACAGCTGGTGCTGAACGCACAGGGCACGTAGCTGACAGCCGGTGCAAAGCCACGTGGAACTGTGGTCGACATCTCTCCCGTTTGCTAATACCTTGGAGCTCTAAAAGACAGCAATCTTGATGGAAGCACCAAGATTGGACCCCGTTTGCAGGGATCCTTTGAAAGAATTATTGGGAAGTCAAGGGCGTTGCGGGCAAATTGTGGTGTTTCTTCGGCAAGGTCTTCAGAGAAGCTCAAGGACATGCACAGAGAGATCTGCAGGTGTTGAAGGGCTCCTTTGAAACCCTTCAACAGGCGCAGCAGCTGGAAATTTCAGCACATGATCATTCACGTGTTTGTGTCAATGCCCCAACAAGTAATGATCATCATGAAACATGTTGGAGGCCATCGCTACTAGGTTCATGAATCATCATCATTGCTGAGCAGCACGATGCTGCAGTGCTGCAATGCTGAGCTTGAGCCGAGAAGAGGGGAGCATAAACGAGGTGTCGCCCAGAAACAAATTATAATATGAGGGTTTCCAGAATTGGGCGGAACACCCAAATCATCAATTTTGATGGCTTGTTTAATCAAAAACCCTCCATGAATGGGGCACCCCAAATAAATGGAAACCCTCCATATAGAGTCTGTTTGAGAGGCCTTGGAAGATGTCTCGGAGATGGTCACTCAAAGAGAGGCTGAAACAAAGAGCAGGGAACGTGTGACTGAGGAGCTTCACCAGGCACAGCCGCTGTGATTTCGAAAGTGATGCAGCAAGGAACATCATTGAGCAGATGTTCTTTTTTCCAAACTGGTCGCTTGAGGACCCAAATGAGGTCACTTTGAGACTTGAGACACTCCTGGCATATACATTTACATGGTTCACTCAGATTTGTTCTTTTGCAGAACGCATGGACGAAGACAGCACCCTGTGCAGAACAGGTTGTTGCAGAAGTGCAGCAGCAAATGGGCGGCCTACAGTCAGAACTGACCAACATGAGGAAGGGCACAGAAGACATGCAGGAGGCCGGTGTTCATGTTCACGGTGCTTCATGTTCTTTTCAGCCATGAATTACATCTTGGTACTAGTTGAGAAAGCATATAAATACCTGATCAGATCGGCTGCGACTGGTCCCTCCAAGCTGAAAAGAAGACCCGTCTCGTCTCCGAACGCCCAGACCGGCGAACCCGGTGAACCCGCCCCGCAAACGGTGAACCCGGTCCGCTCCGACGGGCGACGGTTGGCAGACACTGGTCCGCTCCCTGGAAGTCTGGAGATCGATCCATTGTGCCATTGGGTTGAGCTTGCTTCGACGGGAAATCCCACACATCACAAGCTTCCTTGGTTGCACGAGAGGAAAAGACACCGATGGCGTGTTTTGTTTTTTGTTTATGTTGAATTCTTTGGGATGTTTGGAACCCACTGACTCATATTTTTCAAGTGAGTTAACCAGCAGGATTGAACCGTTCCGTGCTGTGTTAGTCTCATATCTAGTTGGGTTGAGTTTCGACACCTGAACCCACAACAAGTTTCCTTGTTACACAAGAAGTCTTGTGCCTTATGCTGCTGCTTCACTGATCAAGATGTGATGCTTTTCGGGCAAGGTCTTCAGAAAAGCTCAAGAAGATGCGCAGAGAGACCTGGGGGTGTTGAGGGTCTCCTGTGAAGCCCTCCAGCAGGCGCCAGAGAACGGACTCGCATGAGATGAAGATGAATTAACGATACTTTCCCTGGATCTAGCATGGAAATTGAAAACCCCCTGCTTGTAGAGGAAAATGGTCTTCCAAGGGGCAACTTTACACTTCCAAGGTGTGTAGTACATGGATCAAGTGTTGGGAGAACTCATAAATTTGTGGAAACAATAAAAGCACAAAGTACGACTGGAGTGCACTGTCGACTCAGACTCGTTCCAATCGACATGATCAGCGGTGCTTCTTCAACACGTTCTAAAAGGGTCGAGCGATAGAGTTGCCTTTTGCGAGAGGCCTTGGAAGATGTCTCTGAGAAGATAACTCAACAAGAGGCAGAGACAAAGAGCAAGGATCGTGGCACTGAATCTCTTCACCAGGTGCAGTAGCCGAAGCAAGGAACATCCAGCAATGAAGGTTTCACAGCAGCTGTGATGCTATTATTGTTTATATAGAGATGTTTAGAGTCTGCAAAATGTCCATTGCGACCGCACAGGGGGCCATGCTAAATCTCCGGACCCAGTTGACCCGGTTGACCCAGTTGACCTCAACCGGGTCAACTGGGTCCACCGCCACCACGACTACTACTGCTACTGACCTCAACTGGGTCAACTGGGTCCGGAGATTTAGCGTAGCGACCGCGTCAACTGGGCCCACCGCCACCACCACCACCACGACGACTACTACTACTACTACTTCTACTACTGGGTGAACTGGGTCAACTGGGTCCGGAGATATAGGGTCAACTGGGTCAACTAACCCTCAGTTCAACAACGGTCCAAACCAGGGATCAGGTGCAAACCAGGTGGATTTGTGGATCTTTTCCAGGCCCAAAGCAGGGATCAGGTGCTTCGTGTTCGATCGTCACAGTCTATCCACTAAACCACCGACAACTAAGTCAGCTCATCCATAGAATTCTGAAACCTGACCTGTATTTTAGATCAACACCAACCATCCTCATCTGTGGCAACATGGAACTATAAAGACATGATCTAATCAATGGAAACCAATCTCAACATTAGACATTCCGTGTAGAGCTTACTTGTTCAAGTTCAACAACGGTCTCCATCACAACCTCGGTTGATCCAGCTCGATCCACTTCAGAAGCCAACAGTTGGGGACCGCTTCTTCCTGTGGGTCAAGAGGTAGCTCTAGATCTATCGACGACCTGTGAGCAAGCGAGTTGGTGATGTAACACTACTAAAAGAAAGCTAGAAACCAAGATCAACACAAGGCATCTTGTGTCGAGCTTGGTTGGGACTCCCTCTTCCATCGAGTCGACCATGGCTGCATAAACAACATTTACATATAAAAATACATATTCTAACCATTGGAGACCGAGCTCAACGCCAGGTGTCCCGTGTTGAGGTTGGTTGAAGACTTTTCCTGAGCCAGTTGAGACATTGCCTCCATCAGAACCTCAGTAGAAAACAAACACAAAACAACAATAATGAGTTGTGAAAACACAATCTAACACATAGAAACCACACTCCACACCAGGCATACCATGTTGAGGTTGATTGGTGATCTTTCCTGATCCAGTTCAGACAATGCCTCTATCACAACCTAGTAGTAGCAGTGGACCCAGTTCATTCCAGTTGACCCGGTTGACCCCAGTTGATCCAGTTGACCGAGTTGACCCCAGTTGACCCCAAGGACCCACTTGACCCAGTTGACACGTAGTAGTAGCAGTAGTAGTCGTGGTGGTCGAATTGACCAGGCGGCTACACTAAATCTTCGGACCCAGTTGACCCCAGTTGACCCAGTTGACACGTAGTAGTAGCAGTGGTAGTGGTCGCAGTGGTCGACTTGACCAGGCGGCCACACTAAATCTCCGGACCCAGTTGACCCAGTTGAGGTCAATTGGGTCAGCTGGGCCAAACCACAGATTTAGCGGCCCCCTGTGCCGACGCACTCAAAATGTAATTATTTAAGATTTTTCACTTATACTGACTTGCCGTTTTGTTTGCTCTTCACAACACTGCGTGCGCAAAGACGGCACCTTGTGCAGAACAGGTTGTTGCAGAAGTGCAGCAGCAAGTGGGCAGTTTACAGTCAGAACTGCCCAACATGAGGAAGGGCACAGAAGAAATGCAAGAGGCCGGTGTTCATGGTGGTTCATATTCGCGCATGTATCGGACAGGACGCAAGCTCAAACAGAACTGAAATCGTATCTATTTCTACAGGATTGAACCGTTCCCTGCTGCTCGGGCAAGGTCTTCAGAGAAGCTCAAGAAGATGCGCAGAGAGACCTTGGGGTGTTGAAGGATTCGTGTGAAGCCCTTCAGCAGGCGCCAGAGAACGGACTCGCATGAGATGAAGAAGAATTAATTATACTTTCCCTGGATCTAGCATGGAAATTGAAAACCCCCTGCTTGTAGAGGAAAATGGTCTTCCAAGGGGCAACTTTACACTTCCAAGGTGTGTAGTACCTGGATCAAGTGTTGGGAGAACTCATAAATTTGTGGAAACAATAAAAGCACAAAGTACGACTGGAGTGCACTGTCGACTCAGACTCGTTCCAATCGACATGATCAGCGGTGCTTCTTGAACACGTTCTAAAAGAGTTGCCTTTTGCGAGAGGCTTTGGAAGATGTCTCTGAGAAGATAACTCAACAAGAGGCAGAGACAAAGAGCAAGGATCGTGGCACTGAATCTCTTCACCAGGTGCAGTAGCCGAAGCAAGGAACATCCAGCAATGAAGGTTTCACAGCAGCTGTGATGCTATTATTGTTTATACATAGAGATGTTTAGAGTCTGCAAAATGTCATTATTTAAGATTGTTCACGTATACTGACTTGCTGTTTTGTTTGTTCTTCAGAACGCTGCATGCGCAAAGACGGCACCTTGTGCAGAACAGGTTGTTGCAGAAGTGCAGCAGCAAGTGGGCAGTTTACAGTCAGAACTGCCCAACATGAGGAAGGGCGCAGAAGAAATGCAAGAGGCCGGTGTTCATGGTGGTTTATATTCACGTATCTATCGGACAGGACGCAGGCTCAAACAGAACTGGAATCGTATCTATGTTTCTACAGGATTGAACCGTTCCCTGCTGTGTTAATCGCACATCATTGGGTTGAGGTTCCACACCTGGAAATCTGCCCACAACAAGCTTCCTTTGTTAGAAGTCTTGTGCCTTATGCTGCTGCTTCACTGATCAAGATGTGATGCTTCTCGGGCGAGGTCTTCAGAAAAGCTCAAGAAGATGCTGAGAGAGACCTGGGGGTGTTGAGGGTCTCCTGTGAAGCCCTTCAGCAGGCACAGCAGACTGTTCTTGATTGCCTCGATTTGGGAGACAAGAACTTCGGAGCCAAATTGTTTGCAGTGCACGTCAGTCTCCAAAAAGTACACGTTTCTGCGGGAGGCTTTGGAAGATGTCTCTGAGAAGGTGGCTCAAAAAGAGGAGGCAGAGAGCAGCGAACGTGGCATGGAAGCTCTTCACCAGGTGCGGTAAGCTACCACTATTTGTTGCGTACTGGGTCCTGCCATGAGCTTCAGAACGAGCGTGACCAAATCAAAACGAAAGACGGCGTTTTTTGGGATGTCCAGCAGGTCGTTTCCTGCTTCCAGTCGGAGCTGACGAGCATGAGGAATGGGACAGAAGACATGCAGGCCAGGCCAGTTACTGGACATTGGTGTGGACATACCTTGACCCTCCCCTGTCAGATCAGGTAATTACGTATTATACCATCTTATACCCATTTTCTGAGGTACTTTGAGACTCCACGTATTGACCGTGTTGCTTCGCACTCTGCGTTTTGGTGCTGGATCAAAAACAACACCCAAGAAGCAATGTAGCGATATGTAGCGATGAATCTTCCATCCTCATGACCTTGAGTGCTTGGGATTTGGAACTCTCCGGATTTGGAGACATCAAGCAAAATTCTCCAGAAGTGGATGCGTCTCAGCGGTCACCAGTGTCGTTTGGATCGTTGTGGGGTCGGCTCCCAAAAGGTTTTGAAAAGAATTATGCAACCCCAGTGGATCTAGACTAAACTGTTTTGCTGCTTACTAGTGATTCTTGAAGACTAAAATCCATAGACCAGACAAAACCCTGGATTTCTTATGCACCCATTTGGAAGGTTGAGTTCAACCCATTGCTTCTTGGGAGGCGAAGCTCGGGGCGAGTGAAGGGGATCTTCGGGAGCTTTGGAACGCCTGTCAGCAGTGTCAAGAGGCGACGCCGGCGACGGGCGAAAGTGAGTGGAGTGTCACGAGTCATGAGCATGAGCAATGTCGCTAGTACCATGGGTGACGGGCTGGAGAGAAATTGATTTCGTTGTGTTTTTGCATGGTAGTCTTTTTGGGAGGGTGACCCTCAGACAGATTTGGGTTTAGAAACCGAACCATACCGAGACAAACATTGGTTGCAAGTCTGGCATGTTTTGTTGTTTTGTGAGTGTTGTGGACCAAGCATTGGACAAGCCGAGTTGGTTGCACTGAGTCCTTTATCAGCGGAGTCCTTCGCCAGCTTTAGCAGTTTCTTTAGACGACCCTGACCATATTAATAGCTTTAAACACAATATAGTCAGATATGCCGGTTGATTATTTCACCATCTTTATAAAATGGAACACCGCAGCCCAAGCATAGGTCACCTGTATGTCATGAGTGTTTGTTCTTTGCTTTTTTGTAGGGATCTGGGTTCTGGTCGTGGAACAAGAGGGTGACCAGATGCAACATCTACCAGCTACAAGTAATTTTCCTCGTCATCTTCTGTAGTATCTTCTGAGTTGAAATCATATAGTACCGGATTTCCCCGCAAAATCATGAGGAACAGTGCCTGCCACGTAAGCATTTCCAGCTGGGGATGTCAAACGAACATGAATTCTGTTGGCGTAAGGGTTTTGGTATTCGGAGGCATAAGGAACACATTTGGTCGCGTAAGCTAAGCGTCAGACAACGTGTAAGCCAATTGAGACGGCATTGACATAGAGCTGGAAGATCCTGATGTTTGTTCGAGAAGCTCACATGTCAACGCAATGAGCTGGTGTTTATTTTTCCCCACATCACTATGTGGGGTTCTAGTTTTTCGCTCTGCACCCGCCGCTCCGCCGCCTCCGCCGCCTCCGCCTCCGCCGCCCGCCACTCATCAACTCACACCACCTATCTAACACCATCTATCTCACACCACTCATCTTAGACCACTCAACATACGTACTCATCTTACACCACTCCCCATCTTACACCACCCATCTCACTCATCTTACACCACTCAACTCACAC